TTTTTTTTACCGGCGGCGCGGGGCGAACAAGTGGCAAGTAGTATCTTGGTTAGCTGTTTGTGTCGGCCAACTAGGTCAAGACGTAAAGAAACGGAAGAATAAATAATGCGTATACTTGGGGTTTTTGTGTTACCTCGAACAGACAGCCACCGGGAGAGCAGCAGTGGGCGAGCAGAAGGAAGGGCTGTACAGTACAAGGCTGCGGATGAGGGGCGCACATTACGGCTCGCAGTACGGTGCAGACCGTCGTCGCGCGTCTTTTTTTTCTCTCTTTTTCCCCAAAACTCCCGCGCAGCCATCCAGCAGCAGCGCGGACGCATGCACAGAGAGAGGATAGAAAAGAAATGAGGGTCCACCACCGGGAGGGGGAGGTGGCGCGTCAAGGTGGCGGCGGTGACGAGAGTTTCATAACGCACACGGTGGCGTGCGTGCGTGCGTGCCGCGGGTGGCACTCTCGTGTTTGCGTGAGATAGAGAGAGAGAGCGCGCGGGGCATTCAAATTGAATGGCACACGCGCAAGTAAACACACATACACACACACTCGCACTTGCTGTCGCCGTCGCGTGTACTTGCCCTTGACTCTACACACCCGCACCCAACCCACCCACCCACACAAGCGATTCTCTCTCTTTTATATTTTTTATGCTTGTGGACACACACTGCCTTTAAAAGGCCGTACGCAGCGCAAAACACACAGAGTGCGCAGCAGCAGCAGCGTCCGCACGGGGTATGGCCAACCGCGACAGCGAGCGAGTCCCCGTGGGAAGCAGAGAGAGAGGGAGGGGTGTGGGAGGGACCGTGGGGAACGGGAGAGGAGTTGTTTCTTACACTGACATCTCAAGTGCTCAACTGGCAAAGCATTTTGGAGAAGAGGGTTCTTGAACACCGTGTAGTGTTCAACACTTGCAAGTGCACGACGGTTCGGTTGAACACTTCGAATGTCAAATGTCAGCGATTACTAATTAGGCTGCCAACCAATGGCCGCGGGGAGTGTACTGTTATTATCGAGTATACTAGATCCGGTGGCCGGGTTGCCTACACGCTCGTGCCGTAAGGCACCATTGTCAGGGGTGATCGGCAAATCCACCCCGCTCTTACGCTAGTATGCGCTAGCGCGCTACTGTTCCGAGGATCTTGCGAGCAGTCCGAGCAGTCCCCCATGCGGCGGGCGGTCACTGCTCGACGCCAGTCATCACCATAACTGACCACTCCCTATTCAGCCAAACTGATCCGTATTAACATGGCGCATAAATGCGATTAAACGTCTTTCGGCGGGGAGCGCCACCATAGACCGGCGGTGACGCGATGCATATACGGTGAAAGCCAACGGCAATAAGTCCCTCAAATAACCGACATGCCAGCCTCTGCCGCGCTCTGCGTGTTATTATCGCGCGATCGGGAAACGGCGGTCGGTGGGGCGCCGGCGGT